GTTTCACTTCCAGATGAGGCTTTGAATATGTAAGTTTTTTTTCTAACATCCTGTCCAAAATGAAACGTAATCAACAATTCAGAACTTACTGTACACACACACAGTGAATGGATAGGGGGGAAAAAAAACCTGTAAGGATCAGCTGACGGTCTGAAATAGTCTGGGACTGTTGGTTGCCACAAGGGTTACCACTGCAAATTCCCTCTTCTTTTGATCTTAGGGTTTAGTAGCCTGTGGGAAATGTGTTCAAGGAGACCTCCCCTTCTTAGCCACTAGATGGCGATTTTGAGATGCATATGGCATTCACAGGCAGCATTAAGCTGAAATAAGCACTTACTTCTATAGACCTCAGTTAAAACCCTAGTATTGCAATAAATAAGTAATTGAAATAAAAAAAATCGGCAGAAAATCACTCTTCTTTCTGGTAAGACAGATTCGCCATGACACATCCTGGCGCGATCTCTGGTCTCTTGATTGCGTGTTACAGATCTTACTAATGAGCATGTATGAACACGTGTCTGTGTGCAGAGTTTGTGGGATTGTTTTCTCATAATGATTCCCATGTTGGTTAAAGTGTGTATTTGTGTGTCCATTACCGGGTCTCCTCTGTAAAGAAGTGCTATATTTATGGATGGACAAAGCTTGTAAATGAGCCATAGTAATCTGCAGTGATCTAAAGACCAAGGTTTCCTACGATAAACCCAGCACCAGGCCTTGGTCAGTTGTGAGATTTCACCCTGATGAAGTGTCTATTCCCTACAGACACTTCAACAGTCATCCTCAGTAAGAGGAACCAATGACAGGTGACTTCTAGAGAAAGAACAATGAGTTAGCAGTGAAATTTGTTCCTGGCAGTGCCAGTGGTAGCTAACCTTACCAACCCCCCCACACCTAGAGCTCTGACAGCACCCATCCCTCCCACAGCTGATGTCCATGGATGTGGTTAAGACTGTATTTCTTGTGCACATGCAACACACTACAAGGTTTTACACAAGTCTTAAATAAAATAAAGGTGCAAAAAGTGCCTTATCAATTCAACAATTAAGAATATTCTACCTACTAATATCTTATTTAAAATAGATTCTATAAATATTACCTTTTTGTATTTAAGTAAGTACTTAAGACCGTATACCCTGTAGTACATTATGAAACAGGTGGAACTGCACCGTTATGTCAGTATGCTGAATTTCTGCAGGATACTTCTTCATGGAGGAACTTACAGCCTATGAACTTACATGGTTTCACTGTGTCACAATGAAGGATGGACTCTTTGACATCTTAAGTCTTTGCATTTGACCAGAACGGACAGAATTTCATGATTGTCCACGTAAAGGTGCCTTTCGCGTCTGCGCCGGTGAACGATCCTTTTCCTGCATTTTGCCCCCTTTTCGTGTGACGATGAGTCAGCCTTATAGACACTTACCATATAAGAGTATAAGTGGCTTGGGGATCCCCAGGATATACGTGGAGCTCAACAAGCCCTCGAGTCCCCACTGGGTCCACAGTTTGGCTTAGAAGAATCCCCTCTGTCTTTTGGGAGTGGTACAAGCCGAAGGATTCACAATGGACTCGTCAAACAGCATAGCTGGGATTGTTTTGTTTTGATGAAAACGGGATAAATTAAGGGCTGTTGGAGAAAAGATGGGCTGGCCGGGATCGCAGTTGCTCCAGACGTTTGATTGAGGGGAATTCTTCAACGCTCTGAAGACAGTAAAATGGGTAAAAAATAAAAAAAATTGCCCCAGAAGTATATGCAGGAGAGGTTGGAGTTCACCCTGAACAAGACACCTCCAAAGACTGCCCATGACAAGGACCCCACACCGCTTTATAACTGAAGAAGAAAAAAACGAAAAATGACAACAAGACAAACCAAAAGAGAAGAAGCCCCCCCCCCCCCCCCCCCGAGTGTGCAGCGAGTGGACTGTCCCGAAATCCACGGCTACGGTGACGCGTCTCAGATTGCTCCGGCTCTGGCCCGCTCACGTTCCTCAGCGCAGCGGCACGGCTACCCATCCACCGGTGCCGCCTGCTCAAAGTCCGAGCCAAACAGCTCCTTATACAGGGGAGGGAAGTGTGTGCGCACGATGTCCGGGTATATTGCTTTGAAAGCCATCAGCTTCTCTGTATGCCGGCTGCACAGCGCTCGCAGAGTGGACACTTTGCATATCAACTGCGAAGAGAAGCAGAAGAGAGTCAGTTCTGGACAGAATGAAGCTCACAGACTCACATTCATGACTGCAACATAGAGCCAGTTCCGGACTTCAGAATCTAGGCGTGATGTATAGTCTGCATATGTTTGAACTACCTCTCCAAAGAACTGTCGCTCCCATTCATTGCAGAAAAATGTATCTGGCCTCTGTAGCTGACCTGTATTCTGCCAAATTCCTAGAGGCGTTACTAGTGCAGTCAATGTCACAGTATGTCACATCAAGTGTGATGATTTCATAACCTCCCCAACATTATCGACAGTGCTGTGACGTGACTGTGAGAGAACTGAATTCCCTGTTGAATCCATATCTGCATGTATACACACATGCTGCATCTACGCTGCAATTCTTTAATATGTCTGCACATCTATAGCATGTGCATATGTATGTCAGAGACAATGATAATGGTAGAGCATTTATCTCCTGTTGATTTTCCACCACTAATTATCGGTTTCAGTGGCTTACACAAACATAATCACCAAAGAAAAGCTTGTCGCCTTTTCTACAGAATTAGGACATCAGGATGTCACACCTGCAGAGGTGTGATTGAATAGTTACTGTGGTATGTTAGCTTCAAAGTCACATATCCATCTAAAATCGCCGTAATGGACAGCTGTCCTTCAATATAGATTTTAGAATATAGATTATGAAGCTGAACCAGCATATACAGCTGACTTAAATCCAGTTGGACATAGCTTCTGAAGGAGCAGGGTCGGGGTCCAATGCTGTAGGTTTCTACCTTTGTGAGAATACCATCCTCTCGCTGGTTTTTCTGCAGGACGTGCTGAAGTGCCAGTTGGATCTTCTGCTGCAGTTTCTCCACCTTGACCTTCTCCTGAAGCCAGGATCGATCTATGGAAAGCCAGAGGGTCACACAGTGCAACCCGCAAGACGGACAACAAAAGGAGGTAATCTCTGAACCTCCCAGCGCAATCCGGTCTAAGCAACAGATCACAAAGACACGGATATGCATTTGACAAAGACGAGCAGGTTGGGTGAAGGTTCCTCAAAGGACTTTGAGGACCACGGACTAACCCCAAACCCCGGCCCACTGATGGAAGAGCACGGACGCACCTGCAGACATCAGCACAAATGCTGAGAACAAGGCGATCTCATCCTCGGACAGATGCACAGCGCACAAGTTCTTCCCGAACTCGAAGACAGAGCCAATCAGGTCGTCGCAGCCTGGTGGGGGTGGATGCAGAGAAGTGAGGTGAGGCGGGATGTTGCATTTCTGCTTGATTTCACCCCAGAGCCCCAGCTGGCGGCCTATGATGGTCTACTACCAAATTCTTCTAATCTAATCGGATTTGAGGTAATGTGGGGAGGTCCCGGCCTTGTTAGACCTAATGACGAGCTACTGGTAGACACGGGCAGGGTCCCCTTAGAAAACTGTTTTAGCTCATTGAAGCTCTCATCAAAGAAACCTCCAGCTGATGAAAAACAGCAAATGCATACATGCACGGAGAAACAGCAGACGCACAATGACACACATCTTGGTGCGGGCAAGAGAAACCTTCAGGGTTACCTAAATACGTTTGTTCGTGCCTATAATTTTGTCTTGATTATGAGGATTCTTTCTCTGCTATCACAAATATTTCCATATGTATGTTTACACTGCATATGTGGCATAAAATGAATGATATTTTATAATACAGTCCGTACGTGGTTGTGAATTTTTGTTTATTCCTGTAATTCCAGTGTATTTAAGAGTCTCTTAATGTTTTATCTATCCCACATGTAGCGATGCAAGGGCAAATACGACAACATCTGCATGCTGAAAACACATTTGGGGCCGTCTCTGTGCTCGTCTGGAAATCTAATGATGCTGATTAGTCACGCTCCATACATAAACATAAACGCACACGCACACACACACGTCACGTAAACATATCTTTATGGGGACCGCTCATTCATTTCTATGACAAAAATGCTAACGCTAACTATGACAACCTTAACCCCTACCCAGCCCTAACCATAACCATAAGTAACCAAGCAAATTTTTGCATTTTTAGTTTTTTCATTGCAGTCATAGATGTCTATCAAAATGAGTTTTCTCTTATGGGGACCAGGAGACCGGGTATTCATCATGTTGTGGGGACATTGTGTCCCCATAAGGTAAGGTATACCCGCTCTCTCTCTCTCTCTCTCTC